ACACGAGGAGGTTGGGAGACCTGAGAACACCAATATTCTTATCCACATGAATGGACTTTTACTGCTAGAGCATTCTTGGCAGCATTCCTTCTGGTCACATTAAGCGAACAGATTTGTATGCATTTGGTAGTCCCATCCAGAAGACCTACAATGGCTATAGGCATATATTAGTGCCACCAGCGCAGTACCTGATGATGTGCCACAACGAACTTTGAACTGAGTTGCACACAGACATCAAAAGGTAGCCGTAAGGTGGTGCGGTCTCTGTGCTGCAAGCAGAAATTCCCATGGATCTTCCATACTTCTGTGCCTGATAAACTCATGCCTGCTCAGGGACCGTTGCACAGAAAACTGATTTGTACATCAAAAGAACGAACTGGCATCCTACCCATGAATGATTTTCCATTTATAGTTGCAAAGCCACTGCTAAAGAGGCCAAAACTAGTTTATAAAATATTTCTGCAGCTATAATTGTTTAGGACCACTGAACTGCATGTTCCAAGCCAGATCAAAAGGAGCACCACAAACCCATGAAAGGCTTATGTGTAAAGACAGGGTAAATTCCATGTCTGGGACCCATCTGTAATTCTGTCAAACCAAGAGTCCTTGTAGCTGTATACAAATTAAATGTCTGTCTGCCAAAATTAAGTGAACGAAGAACAAATACCCCCTTATCACTTGTTTACAGTAACTACCTTGTCTTCTTTAATGTTAAGTATAAAATACCCTTCCTTTTACACTGTTGTGAAAATACAAATCATATTGGGAGTTATAACAAAACCAGACATTGATCGTGGTCTTTTTTTAGATTACCATTTTGCTTCAAATGTAGATGTGTAAAGGTACGCTATATTCTTTTGACTCAAGGTATTACAGCTGAAGAAGGTGTAGCTGAAACTCAGCAGGATTTTGAGGAAACTCTGTATTGTTTTCTTGAACAGGTTCAAGGCAAGTATATCACTGATTCACCATGGACTGACCACACAAAGATGGATTTAAGAAATTGCAAATGCAGTTGGAATGAAAAGGCCTGATGTTTTTACATTTGCAGACTAGTGATACATGCATGATTTTTCATGCTTAACCATGTGAAAAACAGGAATTAATAATTATTTGCAGTGTTAATTCCCTAAATAGTTAGCACTTCATGCATATTAATAGTTAATGCCAGATTTCTCTCTTTAAAAACATTTGCTATTTCAATAACGGGAGATCTCATTTTGGCAGTGAGAAATTCTTCCTCTCCGTTATTCTTCCTCTCCATTTAAAACAATGCTTATAACAAGCCACTGACAAGGATTATGGCAAAAGACAGAGACAGCTGAATTCTTTAAAATAAACCTGGAATGTGTATTGACAGATCATGAAATCTTCCTAGGGTTTGTCCTTGTTTACATTTCAGCAGCAATAAACGTTAAGTATAGCATGCATACGCCATTATCTGGAGAAACTTGCTAAAAACTTATTTCATGTGATTAGAGATAGCCAAGAGGCAGGATACCTAACACCAAAAAAAGAAAAAAAAAAACCCGCAAACCACACTTTCTTATTGCTGTATCTGATAAATCCAAATAAATAGCTTTAAGAAAAAAAAAAATCCATAAACATGAAACCTCATGAATCCTTCAGCTGCTCAATAAACCAAATGGTTTCGTTTGGTTCCTCTGCAAATACCACGGCCTGTAGGCAAGGTAGTAACTTTTATAGCCCAACTGATCCAGCTTCAAAAAACACATTCTGGGACATGAAGGGTTGAAACTGCGCCTGAAAACTTGACCTTTCCATCAGCTGGTCTAATCTAATAAAAGATATTACCTCTCCCTAGAAGCCCTTGCTTTGTTTATGGGCATGACTGCCTGAGATTACAGCACTACTATTATCAGACAATGTCAACTGCGCGGCTCTGCCAGTGCCCAGGGTGGGAAGGACTGCCAGCTCTTCAAGTGATTGTCCAAAAATACCCTCACGTTTGGGATCCCCGTGCTGTACCGGCGTCTCCAACGCCACTGTTTTCAACGGGGGGGGATGCGAGACGCT